ACCAAAAACAAATTTATCTTCAATTTGAGGGACTAAAAACATATTTAAGTCTATGTAGGTACATAGTTACATACAATTTTATTGTTTATTTTGAATAAGATTTAATAATATATTTTGTATATGTCATTATAGTCTATACCTACATTTTTTAATAATATACCAACATATATTATATTTATTGTATGGGTAAAAGTAATTTTTAGTAATATGTATTATATATTGCACTATAAGATGTGTGTCACTATATGACAATTTTTTTGTAATGTAAACACATGCAATGAAGGCAGCCAACATTCCCATGGTTGAACCCTCCATAGACAGCCATGGTTTTGAGTCCACAAGAGAAGACATCCATTACCTAGTGTTGATCTCTCTCCAAAAAGAGGAAAACGTAGGTGATGAGAGTTAATAAGGTGGTGAGGTTGAATCCAATTGCATGCAACAAGCTCCCTTCTCCTATCTTCCCTAAATTTGTCAACAATCTTCAAAAGAAATGAGAGAAGAGCTTGTTGTCACTTCCTCTCAAGGTCTCGCGTGGTTTGTGTAGGGAGAGTGAATGATAGAAAAATGAAGAATGACAGGTTCTGGGTGCAATTCCCTTTTGCAGTGTGTGGTGACTAGAATGCATGCAACCAAAGCCCGGAGAAACGAGAGAAACTTGTCCCAAAACTTTCTCCAAGTTTCATGGGGTTTCTTGTGGAAGATTGAATAAAATGAATAGAAGTTGGTGGGTTGGCTGTGGGATTTTAGGGAGTGGGTAATTAAGTGGCCAAGTGTCACCAAGATGACATGCAATCCATGTTTAGTGAGTGCTTATGTGGTTTTCTTAGGTGTTAAATAATTCACCAACGATACTTACTATGAATATATTATAGTCATTTGTATGTTGTCTTGTACTATTATAACTTTAATTATTGATAAACGCATTTAATTAATTACACAAAAAACCACTTTAAATGTTTTATTTTAGTTAAACTCCTTCCTTCTAATACACTCTTAATTAAGAGCTATATAATTTAATTATTCAAAATAGTTGTTATAAGAATTAACAATTAAAACAACTCAAATAGCAAACTATAATTAGTCTGGCTTGACCTTTCATTTAAAATAATATAACTAACACAAGGGAATGAATAATTACAAACATACATATTATTAAATAGCAATTATGAATTATTTACTATATTTAATTATTTAAAATATATTAAATTTTTATTAAATTATAAACGAATCACTCACATATATACTTATTGAATTATGATTTTGAGGTTGTTACAAATAATATAATGTCAGTCAATGTTTGGAAAATGCATATCATTTAATTACCCTTCTACAATGAATTAAGATTTTAATGAAAGGGTTTATAATTTTTTAGTTAAGAAATTAGGGTTAAACTATATTTATTGGTTGTTAAATTAATGAGTATTAAAGCCTCAATCAAACCCTGATTTCTCTATCATCATTAAATCTCAATGTATTTCAGTTGCAATTTTTAATACATTTGGAAAATCATGTAAAAAGAATACATTTAGAAAATCATAAAGATGTAATTTTACTATTTCTTTTAAGATTAAATCATTTAAATTTTTGCAATCAATTTTAAACAAATTATTTTCTTAATTAACATCAAGTTGAATTTAAGTGAGTATTGAATAAGTTCTTATGAATTCAATTCAAATCATTTTGATAAGAATCAGTTTGATTTGTTTTATCGAGAAGGTCTATGAGTTAAATGTATAACCCTAATACTCTTATAAATATTAATATATATATATATATATAACTATTGTATATAAAAAAATGCAAAAAGTAGGTATTCTTTTGTTGATTTTGTTCCATTGTGATCGAACTCTCTCCGTTTTTTTTTATAAAAAGAAAGAAATTATTAATTATGTAAAAAATATTATTAAAAAAAAAGCAAATTAAAAAAAGCCGGCTATCATATTCAAACCGATGACCGTGGTATAAGTTTTGTCTATTTTATTACTTGGAATTTTGATACGTTTACCTGTCATTAACACTCATGATCCCTACATCATTAAGAAGCTGGAGGCCTTTTTTAGTGTCATTAATGTAGAACAAAATGTTGATACCCAATGTAAAGCTACACCCATACATATAATGAATGTTGTTATCAAAAGTACCTTGACCTAAAGGGTTTATGCTACCTATTGTCCATCCTTATGATTACACATGAGCGTTGAGATGTATGTAAAATATGTATACAATTTTTATATCATTTAGTGTCAAATGTCATCAGAACTTTATATTTTTGTGCATATTTTTTATGATTTTATTTGATGTTTTGGATCAATTAACTATTTGTTCGTTTGTTTTTGCATTTTCATTTGAAACTATACTAGAAGGGCATAAGGATTGAATAAAGTTTTGCCTCCAAATTTCACGAATTAAAGAATTTAAAAAAACAAAAACAAACTGTTTTACAAGATGCTCACAGATATTCTCGTCGATGCAAATTGTATGAGGGTGGGCATAAATTATTATGTAAGTTACATGTTGGGCCCAGAAGCCCATATTTTAAAGGCTTGGCGAAAACAAAATGGCATCCTAGGGCACGTTTCCATAAAAATGATAAATTGCATAAAATTGACTTCTTTTTTAGATCAAGAATGACGATCGGGAATCAAAGTAAACATGCTGAAAGAGGATCCTAAATATCGAATAAAGAACGCAACTTCTCAAGGATTAGAAATTGGATTTTTTTTCTCTCTCTTTTTCACTGTTTTTATGTGTACCATTGATGGATAATTTCAAATTGATTAGAAATATACATGAACAAGTACTACTATATATGCACCTATATGTAACACTCGTTTAAGAAATTTTCTTGTCTTTTTTAGTAACAGTCATTTCAAAGTGTCTCTAACATTAATTATTATTTTTTATCTAAATATCTTTAATTACTCTACAATTTTTGCAGTCAATTAACTATAAATTAATGAGATAAATTAATTCTCTCTCCTATGAAGAATTTAGAAAATGATATAACACGAATCAATTAATGAGGTAAAAAGTAATTAACAATGTGTTTGATACATAGAAATGAAATAAAGGGAAAGGGGGGCATAAAAAAGGTGAAGAGAAGATAAATAAGTAAGAAATAAAATGAAAATAGAAATTATTTGATTAAAAAAAATAAAAGAGAAGTAGATTACCAATTAAATTTTTGAACAGTTGTTTGGTTTAAAAATAATAAATGAAGATTATTTTATTATTATTAAAATAATATAATACAGGAGCATATTTTTATCAATTGCGAAAGGGGTTAATCAATTAGGGGAGAATTTAGTTGATTAGGGGGAGTTCATGACTGCAACAGTCAACTTTCGCACAATTTTTCTCACATTTAAGAAGTTTTTTGACGTGAATGCCACCGAATTTTAACAATTTTTTTTCTTATTTCAGTCTTACCAAATCATAGAAATTTGTATATTTCTTCTTCTTTTTCGTTACTTCCAAGCACTTTCTTCCAAATACAACATAAATGAAAAAAGTGAGATAATGAGTTGCAATAACTTTAAAAGTGAATCATTTTGAAGATAATAATAATAACTTATAACTATTAATAATAATAAATAAAGGGGATAAGTTGCTTTGGTATTTATATTTTCTGAATTTTTTTACCCTTCACTAATATTTACGACAATTTTACTATTATAAAGTTAATTGTACGCTTTCATTTATTATCTATTTTTATTTATTTATTTAAAACAATAGGAAAATTCCCATAAAAATCCCTAAATATGACCTTCGCCTCTATTTAATATTACTTTTGAGTTGCATTTCATTTTAATTCCATTTTATTCCTTATTCCAAATTTAAATTAGGTGACCTTAGATTGTCAAGAAGGGAGAAATGAAAGATCTTTCCTTTCTTGTATTGGCTTAAAGGCAAGGTTAACAGTTATTTTTCTCCATGATGAATTAAAGTATTCAATCCTGTAAAGGTGGATAATGAGATGCTCTAATTAATTGGGTTCAGGGGCTTTGTAAGTGGTCTTGGAATCATGATGCATGATGAGGGTGTCCTTTAGTGGCTTAAGATGAAGAAAATTTGAACCACTAAGAATAAAGTGGTCTAAATGTTAATTAGAAAACGGAGAATAAAGTGTGGAATAAAAACAAGCTTGAACATTACTGTTATTATTTTATACATTGCCATCTTTGGTTTCTTATGCATTGATGAAGATGTCAAACACAAGATTTTTCTTCAGTGTTTCCTACATTGCCTTGTGGAACTTAAATTACAAACGAAAAACTCGATAAATTTAACAGAATTATTAACTGACTCACTTCATGCCAAAAATTAAAGTGGGACCGGAAAAAAACATTTTTCAATTACTCAATAATAAATACAGATGTTTTTCCTCGCATGCTTACCAATTAAGTAATAAATTTACTGAAATAATAGTAAGATCAGTGGGACCGGAAAAAAACATTTTTCAATTACTCAATAATACATACAGATGTTTTTCCTCGCATGCTTACCAATTAAGTAATCAATTTACTGAAATAATAGTAAGCTATCCATCCCCTGAGAAAAAAGTATCAGTTTCTCTTTTTCAGAGTCAAACGAAGGATATCCACTTTGATGAGTCGGAAATAAGATAAATATTACACAAGATTATTCAGATCCATACTTGGATTAAAGAATGAATTTCATTGCTTCTGATACCAAGGACACCGTGGTTGTTTGTCTTCTAGCTCTTCAGGTGTTCAAACCAGCTCAAGTATGTCAAACTAAATTTCCCACTAACTTTGGTGGACCATGATGATGATGATGATATGTCTAATTGCTTTCCCCCTCTTTACGATAACTAAGAGATACTTTTAGCTACTAATAACGATTCCTCTATCAAAACCAGAAATAACAATTATAAACAGTTTGTGAATATTTAATATATCAAGGACCATCAAAGCACGATGCATCTCTCATATCAAACGAAAGTAAAAGTAAAACAAAAATATCAATTAACAAGATTTTAATCAAATCATAATAGTGGGACAACTTTACTCATTTTATTAGAGAAATACGAAAAGTATGCCTAATCAATTATGTACAGTCAAATTTATCAGACTAGAAGGGCCTAGGATTCCCCTCCAAACAATCACCAAATCTCTCCCACCATCCTATTTTCCTGTATAGAAAGATTACAAACAAGCCAAAGCAATCTTCAATGAAGCATTTGAAGACATGGCTTGAAAGGTTATTCTATAAGTGTGAAATCAGACACAATATTATACCTATATAAGCCCCTACCTAAGCTGCTAACTAATAAAACACAAAGAGACACTATCTATTCACAAAACTATCTAAAAGTGTCATCATTCATCAGTTGCTCCTTTTCCTTGGCTCTCTCACTGTTCTTCATCAGTGGAAGGAAACAATGCCACTGAGATGCCACCCAGATACTTAGCACTCAGCCTTGACTTATGTTTCCCCAATGGTGCATTTGGAGGTTCAATTGACTCAAATCCACTAGAACCAAACGGTGGACGAAGACCAAAAATTTTCTTCTTTGGGGTGCTATACTCGAAATGCATTCGCCTAGCAATCTCAGTCTGCAAATGCAAAACCCAACACTTTCCAAATTAGAACAACACATTCAATTTGAAACACAAATGAGTCGCACTGAATAATATATTATTACTCCAAAACTTACCGCTCGTCTAATAGTTTGTGAGACAAGAAGAAGCTGTTCCAAATCTTCATGATCCACACCACACAACACCTTTATCTGCAATTCGTCCAAAAGAGAATAAATAAATAAATAAATAAAAACATAAATTTCAGAATACCCATTGCATATTTAGGAATGTAAATTCAGGGAGCAAAAAAAATTCAAACTTGAAATTGGGATACTCACCAAAATGTCATGAGGGAGGGCTTCAAGGAGAGACCTTTCACTTTCAGCGGTGAAACTTATTTTCTCGCCGCACATTTTCTTCGATGGAGCCGTCATCGAATTGAAATTGAGGGAAGAAACTTCTGCATTGTTTGATAACACAACCCTCTTCCTTCCGAGTGTTGTTGTATAACTATAACCTTCAAAACCTAACACCATGTCTCGAATTGACCTAAATAACCGCACACTCGAATTAACAGGTAACAACCTTCTCTTCTAATCTGCAAATACCAAAAAACCCAAAGCCCTATTTGTTCAAATTGCTAATACATATGGTCCAAATTTTTTTTGAAACATAAAAATGAAAGGAAAATTTGCGGAAATTCAAAAAAAAAAAATAGCGGAACAAACTACAGAAAAAGAGAGAAAAATGGGACACATAACTAACCTGATTTTAAGGGAGTTTCTATTTGTGGTTGTAGATGCCAAAGGGATAAGCCAGAAAATGCAAAGGAAACTGGTGATCAAACTCAACTACCCCAGCTGTTTAAGAATTTGGGAACAGACGAGGGAAAAGAACGCTTTATATATGAACTAAAAAGCTTTTTTAATTTTTTTATTATTCTCTCCTTTTTTGGGGTTATTAAATTAAATATTTAACAGTAATGACGCGTGAGGAAATTACGGGAAAGTTCGATGAAAATATCAAGAGTTACTTTTTTCTCCGTGTGCAATATGGCGGTTAAAAAATAGAGAGAGGGAAAAAAACTAGCCGTTGGAGGGGACACGTGGCGGTGGGAGAGAGGATGGAGGTAAGTGGATAGTGACGTGGTATTTGGTCGGCTTTGTCGGTAGGTTCTGGAGCACGTTCCGTGTACGTAACCGCGTGGATAGCATGGACCGTCATCGTAGTGGATCACAGCCTATGGGGATGGCTTGATCAAGATCAACGGTGAAAAGTGAAGATGGGTGTGGGGCCCAGTGAGAAACGAATCTTAAGTGGTTTGACGGAGTTTATTAGGCGGCTGGCGGCTGTTGCTGTTTTTGCGTTGGTTGTTTGCACAAGGCAGGCAGGGGCTTTTTCGTCTTTTCCACCTCCTCAACCGTGGTCTCTGTCTGGTCAACTCAGCAGCCAGCAATTGCATGTATTTTCTTAGTTCTTTCTTGGTGTGAAAGATGCATTACAGCATCAGCAACCGCACTTTTTGAATCACGTTACATGCAAATTTCGGATACAACAAATTTAATGTCATATTATATAATAAAAAAATAATCTCATATTTAAAATAAATATAGCAGTGAATGATAATAAGGTTAAATGACTCTTATATTTAACTAAAGTTTTCATTAAATATTTGTAACTACACGAGGCACGTCGATAATTTTGCTGGTTCTCCTAAATTTTCATCTCTCACATATTTTGTTGTAAAAGGAAAGTGGGTTATGTGTAAAAAATATTTCAACACTTAAGTGAATCTTTAAAGTTAACTAGTTAATTTTAATAATCATGAAAATGTACTTTTTTTTTTGGAAGTCAGCCAATTAATTCTAATAATTATGAAAATGTACTTTTTTGTGACTATTATTATTATTTATACTAATTTTAATAAATTTAAATTTATAAGTGAGTTCAAAATAATGTTCATTAGTCTCGATGACATCTGAGATGTTGAGTCGTTGTAATAAGTCAAGGACCTCTCACTTTATCTTTTGTGTTTAGGATCTCACATTAAGCATTATAAATTTTTGAAATTTTCTATACTAAATATGAAATTCATGCTTAGTCTCAATCTCTCATTTCTTATTCTACCAAAAAAAATCTCTCATTTCTTAATGTATAAATTATGCCAAATGAAGTGAAGTGAATATGATGAAGAGTGATAGTCATATATAAAAATATTGATAAATGTTTCATTATTTTGAATTTAAAGGAGATTAAATAATAACTTTTTTTTTACTTTCTATAAGATATAAAATAATATTTTGATGTTGGACTCTACTAAGCTCAGCCTAGTCGTGATCGGTTACAAGTCAATCAATTAGATACCAAATAGTTAATTATGTCACTTAACTTGCTTTAGCTGTTAATTTATAATTATCATATACCAATATAAGAGAGAAAAAACAAAATGATAAAAGATAATAATAAATAGTTAAAAATAATTCATATAACATAATACGTATGACGATAATCATAATCTAAAAGATATTATTATAATAGATCATGAAATAAATATATAAAAAGATAATAATCAGTCTAGATTAATGATTATTAGGAACAAGAGATAGAAAAGATAAAACAACTATATAATAGACAAATTAGGTTAGCATAATTGACTTTTACTCATAATCATCATCATCATATAGTTGTACTCTAACTTTAAGTTATCTATCATAACAAATATAAAATATATTTTTATATAATTAGTTGAATTTTTTATACTTAATATTTTTAAAATAAAATAAAATAATTATATGTGGAATGTGTATGGGTAAGAGCACTCGGTCACGTCTTTCGGCACATGACCGACAGGCTCGGCCGAACCGGTCAGGACGAGTTAACATACCGAACCTTGTAGCTGACACCCGATCGGCCACCAAATAGCCGAAGTCCCAAGTGAAGTTAACCATGGACTCAGAAATCACTCCTAATCAAGGATTAAGGGTTAATCACACAAATAAGCTGATTAAGGATGTATTACCTAATAGGGTAATCCCATTGCAGGGCTCATGGAGAGTAGGACCCATTAATGTCAGTATAAATAGCTCACGTCTCGAGGTAACGTCACTGTTCATTAATTACTATCGATATCTGTGTTTGTCCTGACTTGAGCGTCGGAGTACTTTTTGTAGGTACCCTCCCTCTCACTGGATATTTGTTTGGAGCTCTCATTCGGCCTTCAGAGTATGAGAAGATTACTAGTGTGCCCTTCAGACAGGTACATAATGAAAATAACCCAATCAAAGAATTATAATTTTTAATTAAAAAATAAAGGTATAGTTAACTAAATTAAAGATAGACAATTTAAATAATTATATATTTTCTTTAACTTCTACCAATAACATTTAACTACAAAAGTCATTTTTAAAATATATGCAATTAATGTAAATTATTATTTAACTAAATAATATAATTTACGTTAAATTAATTTTTTTTAATATATGTGGATGGAAATTAAATTACTCCAACATTTTAATTAGTCGAAGCGATTTTAATTTTTCAAAAAGTGGTTATATAACTAGTTTTATATCCAAAACTCGTTATTTAACCAGTTATAACTAAAATCAGTTTTAAAAATTATATTAAAAAAAATCATAACATTTAAAATTAATGTACTTGATAACAAATTTATGTAACTATAATTTAAAATTTATGATCATGAGCATAATATCATTAATTATAATTATTGGATTTACTATTTTTTTTACATGGATTTATTAAATTTACATGTATTATTTCATTAATTTGACATAATAGTGTGAACAGATCCTTACAAAAATATATTTATGCATAAAGTAATTTTTTAAAGTATATTTATCTAATATAATTGATTTCAATAAAAATATTAATTATAATTGAATATTGAGTTATTTTTTTCTTAATAAATCAAAGAAAAACAATTTTTTATTAACTAAAATTAAGTTATGCATAAGTTACATTAATTATTTTTTTAAAAGTCTAAAATTATTTAATGAATTCAGTCAAAAAAGAATATTTAATGAAATACTCTTTCACATTGAGACAAGCGATCATGGATTTATACATTAAAAAAAAAAAAGATAAATATGTCAAAAATATAATGTTCTTTCAAATATAGGTTCTTTTTGTTTAAACATTTATTTTACTACTAAAAATATGATTTTTATTTAATCTGTACTCGTTTAAATTTTATTTATGTCTAATCTTTAAAAGAATATATAACTGGGGTTTGGAACTAATCTTTAATAAAGAACTACCTACTCTAGTTTTATTAAATGCAAGATTAAAAAAGTAAATAGGGGTTCAGATAAATAAATAAATAAAACCACTTTCAGAAACTGGAAAATATTTGTGACTACTTTTTCTTGGTGATCACTCCAATTAAATGAATTTAGCTTCACTGCACCCCAAAGTAGAGCTTTATTTTAATTTTGCGAATTCAACATCCTTTCCTTTCTCACTAGTAATAAATAATGGATAATAAATAATTTTTTTTTTTCACAGGTAGTATCAAACAACATAAGCAACACATCTTTCTCTCTTTTTTTTTTGTTTAATTTTATTATTCAATTTTTTCGTTTTCGTGTTTCATTTTGCTTTTCTCATTGTCGTCCACCCATTTTCTTCGTGAATAAACAAGGATCCGTTCCCGTATGTAACAAAGTTCACGTATTGAGAATGTCAAGGCTGATCCTCCTGCAGTTTGAAAGAGAAATTCACCACTACAGATTTCAGTTTTTCTCTCCTTTATATAATAAAATTATAGAAATGGCTGAGATCCACGCACTTATTTTCAAAATTGCACAAGATCCTTAATTCGACCAACACACCCGCTCACTAGCCTACAAGACCTGATGAGCAAAGAATTCCACTGAATAAACACATCACCTGACCCACGAACTTGCCCAAATACGTTAAAACTTTTTGAAACTTGAGTGTGTTTAAATGAAGAATTTAAATAAAATAATTCATATTTTTGAAACATTTTAAATGTCTTAAAATATCTTGTTTGGATGAAAAATTTATAAAAAATTTAAAATTTAAACACTAAAATTCTTTAAAATAATAGAATTTAAAATTCTACCAAAAAAAAAATAAGTATTTAAAATTTTTCATATTTTTTTGTATATATATTTTGCCTCTCCTATCTCAATTATTGAATATTCAAAAATATTTTAAATATTAAATATTATCTAATATTAATTTTTTAAATTATTAAATATTTAAAAATTAATTAACATTTATTTTTATAAAACTTAATCTTAATATCTTTATATATATATATATGTGTGTGTGTAACTAATTTTATCTATGATGAAAATCAAATTATTATACCCAAAATAAATTTTAAAAATTTTAAAAATTAAATTAATTTATTCAAATAAAACATTTAAAAAATTATATCAAATTTTAAATAAAATAATTCAAATTCCTTGAATTTCTAAAATTCTTCCTCCAACATCTGGTGTTCAATGACTAATTCAGTTATTTATCACCATTATCCCACTCCCACATTAACTTCTAAATTCTTATACATAAATGTCAAGAGACAGATATACAAAAGAATATTTCATCCTCTATGAACATATTCAAAAACAAAAAATCGATATCCTGTGAATGCAATTGCAATATTCTAGAGTGAACAAAGCATTATGCCTTCGTTGAGTTTGTACGAGTTGCCGTATTATTCTTTCCTCCAGATTCCACCAACCTTAGAATGTGACCAAGTACACGACGTTTTTCGGCATCAAGTATTGTAGAGTGTAAAATATAAAAAGGCTAACTGCAGAACTGAATTCCTTTTAGCACTTTTTAACGTTAATCTCCATTAAACAAGTAGCAAGTACCATCAACATTGAGATATTAGCTTGTTACAGTGAGATGATCTTAAAGCAGTTCTGGTTATCCTTGAGATGGCGCTAAATAATACTTTCACGTCCATGTCGTCTAGACAATCAACTAGTAGAGCCTGCCATTTTTTTTCCTTTGGCCAGGTGACCACTACTGTTTCTTTATTGTATGTAATAATCAAAGACCACTTTAAATCCCAAGTATAGAGACAGCTTTTCACATGACTGTTAAAGAAAGAACGATTCTCAAAAAGGGAAGAACACGTACTGCCGGCCAGAGTGAGGGTTGAAACTTGACTAGAAAGTAAAAACAGTAACAAATATCTCACCAACAAATGACAAGCAAATAAGTCCAAACTCCAAATCCTTGCTCCAATTATAAATTCACATGTATAAGATATATACGCAAAATTTTGCTCTGTTTTTTCCGTCAAACAAGGAACAATTAATCAGTGAACCATTTTGACCATTGGCTGCAAAACAAATTTGTTTTACCTGATTGATACAAGGGGGGCACAAAAACTTAACAAATTTCAGTCTAAGTAATCACTTTCAGACTGATTGTTGAAACTTCCATTGTTCTTCAAGTCTGTCTCCATCGTTGAATCATAGCAGAAACTCCACACTGAGACACAGTTTTCGTTACCTATATTAAACACGATCAAAATTATCAATGAAAACAAGTAAAATTTGTGAAACTGCTTTAAGTAACATAGAATACATGATTTTTCCTCAGAACTTCCTGAAATCTGTAGTTCATAGATAATATAAAATTAGGTAACTTATGTAAAACCATGCCAATAAAAAACCTGAACAATTATGAAATACAAGAAATAGAAAATCATTTTTTTGAGGAGTCTGAATGTCTATATTAATAATACCACTCAAGCACAACTCTTTGTTGTCATCGTCTGGAATTACAAATCTACGGTGGCCTGAGGATGACACAGCATGGGGTAGAAATGGATGGAATGAGAAACCATTAACTGTGTCTGCACAACAAATAGTAAAAAAGAGTGCTTAGTACAGCTACAAAAATGAAAAGTATGTACGCACAGAATCTACTGCCACTGATCACTAACTCATAATAGCATATTACTTGCAAACAATTGAATTCATCTTTATGGAAGGAGAAATTCAAGAAAAAATTAGGGGGTCCCTGGTAGATCCCAGTAGAGATTCTTGTTAGATTATTTAATCTAATAATACCTCGTGATTATGGAATGACTTTTAATAAAAAGATATTTAATGCAATGATTGTTAGACAAAAAATGTATTAAAGTCATTGGAATTATTTTAAAGTTATTAAAATTAATTCTCTCTCCTCTCACTTCATTAAGAATAATTTTGGCATTAAGGAAAAAGAATCTGAAATGAGAGGTTGGGGAACTTAGAGAGTTGGTTTTAACAAAAAAGATAACCTCTTTCTCTCTTTCTTTAGTTCTTTTTGACATCTTGAGAAAACATGGATTTCACGAAAATGATTGTGAGAACTTAGAAAATGTCAAGAACTAATTAAAGGAGTTTCAACACCATCATAGATACCAAGTAAAGGAAACCAGAGAAGGGAGAAAAAGGTAGGGATAAATACTTATTAGAAAATTCTCACTTCAATTATGAATCCAGGTATTTTTCTAAACTTTTTCATAGAAATTATAGAATATAATAGTAGTGAGAAATATGTTATTTAAGATCTTTAGAGTGAAATTTTCTTGTATGATGAACCCTATGAAATTACACATGATTGTAAACTTTGGTAACAACTCTACCATGTTGGTGCTTCTAGAGACCAATAAATCTTCCAATATTTTAAACACCCAAATTGTTTTCTTATTACTCAGTGATGGAATTCCTCTCTTTTTAAAGAAGAGACAACCTAAACAAGGAAACTATATCTTATCTTAAATATGGAAATAAGATAAGAACAATACTATAAATAAGTAATCCTATCTAAAATAAGGAAATTCTATGGGATATTAATTATCTAATTGTATCAAAGTAACGAATTCTATGAGATTCTCCCTAATTATTAGTTGTTGCATCCACTCTTTTCTGGTTTTGCCCTTCTTGAATATATATAACATGCAGTGGGGACTAACAGTTCCCTCCTATGATGTCTGTCTAATATGTTAAAAGAGTACAATAGTCAATAGTGAATATGAATACATGTGGCAAAATCTTGCCTCTACCTTATGAGGGACTAACATTTAGTAGATGATCAGAATCTGAAAATCAAAGGAGAGGAAGTGGTCAAAGAATGTAGGATACATGTGCAAAGATCAGGAAATGGTAGGTGGAACTAGGATATACGGGCTAAGCATAGATCATCAAGTACCATGACCATCTCTTTTATAAAAAAATTCATTTTACTGCTAGAATAGTAGAATGTCAACAATAGTTTGATCAATGTACTATTATCCGTGAAGCATCGTAACACACTGACTTTGGCACCAGCACCAGCATTGGATATTAGGCCTGAGCATCAATCGGCCACGGCCGGTTTCGGACCAAAATTCTTAAAATCGTCCGAAACCGATTAAGAAAAATCAAGGGCCATCTCCGGCCGACGAAGAACTCAGGTTTTGGTGGGTTCAATCCGTGCGGTTACGGGTTCATCGGTTGGGTTCATCGGTTTGAGAAGCTTCCTCTAGCGTCTCGTGCCGCCCTCCATCGTCACCCGTCACCGGTCACCGGTCTCCGTCACTGCTTCGTTGCGGGGAAATCGTTGAGTTTCAGATCTCCGCATCACCACCCTCGTCAACCATAACAGGGAATAGGGGGCTTCTCGGCGACGGTGGTCATGGCAGGGAAAGGTTGAAGAGAAGAGAATGTTTACGGAGTGAAATAGAAGAAGAAGAAGAAGAAGAAGAAGAAGAAGAAGAAGAAGAAGAAGAAGAAGAAGAAGAAGAAAGAAGAAGAAGTAACAGAAGATGGAACGATGAAGACGAAGAAGATAAACGGTCGGATTCGGGTTTATCGGATGAGAAAATTCCAACACCAAATCCGACCGTTCAAATCCGTTTGAACCCAAAAGTTGCATCCGAAAAAATCCGAAATACCTGAGAATCAATCCACTTCATCTAACCTAACCGTCGGTCTGGTCGGTTTCGGATGGCCAGAAATTTTTGCCCAAGCCTATTGGATATGACTCGGTCAACGTGCACATGTGAACACACATATATTGTGAAGCGAATTAAGAATTATATATTCACCTTCTAAAAATAAACTTAAGCTTTACAGTTCTCAAATGATAAAAACCCTCACAAAAAGAATACCAAGAAGGAATGAGGGATCATTTCACAATGCAATCCACGCAAAAAAAAAAAAAATATATATATATATATATATATATATATATATCACAAGATAAGAAGACAAATCACATCTCTTTTCCTAGTAATAATGAGCCTCACAATAAAAATGCTAAAAGGCATCATTTTCCTAGTTGTCTCAAAAACTAAAAGACCTAATCTAGATATAGAGTTGATGACCGACTTCATCATCATTGAACAATATAGCTATCCTCAGGTTTCAATTTTGTATTCAGAATATAATATTTTTAATTATATTAAATTTTAATATTTGTAGTATAATATAAAATTTCTTTTTTATAGGAGTGTCAGAGAAGTGCCTAGCCCAAAGTAGGCGTCAGTTCTAGTGTCTTGGTCCATGTTCAAGCTGAAATTTTTTTTTTTTAATTCAAACACTAAGAAGAAGTGTTGGAAAGGAGTGTCCAACACATATCCGAAGTGTTAGGCACGTGTCAGTGTGCAAGACATAATCTGAAGTACTTAAGAAACACTTTAAAGAATAAATAAATTGCAGATGTGTTCTGAATAAGGCAAAATACTTTAAGAAATTAATAGATATGATAAAGGTGGCATGAAAAATGAGATCAAAAGAAAGATTGAAACAAAATATAACCACCAGCATCTTTTAAGAGTATAACACTTGAGTACCTAACGCAGCCTCAAAACTTGACACCCACTGCCCAGTTTGAAGATTATATATATGTACTAAACCATCCTGAAACCAAAAAAAAAAAAAAAACATTTAAAAACATACACTGGATATTAATTTACCATCATGACATTGCTAGATAATAGGAAATAGTCAAGCAAGAAGATACCTGGCCACCTGTACCAAGATGCTGTCCAGAAGGGTCAATATCAAACAGTATCCTTTGATTGGTGTTTGCTGATGATCTATATAACCTAGTAACAAGGTGCAAAGATGCATCCACTCAGCTCCCAACATGCATACTTATGGAATAAATAGTAAAAGTGTGCCTTGATTAATAAAAAATCAATAAAATGAGAAACAATGCAGCTGGAATCAGTCAAGGTTTTGTAATGGATATTTACAAAAAACATACAATAGCAAACAGCAACTTAAACATGCAAAAAAGCAGGATCTTTGGATTGCCTATAGCACACACATCAGCAGTTACTAATTAAAATGGGAATCTAGCTTTGGAATTCACATGTCCTACTCAGTAGCAGCTACTTGGACTCTTCTGAGAGGCATACTATACAAAGTTGTCAAATTTGAGTGTGTACGAAAACTCATAAAGCATCCATAGACTTGATTCATAAGTGTTTACCAAATATATAAATAAATAAATAAAACATCATATTCATACACACATCACAGAACTTGGTATACTTATCATTGGGATGCCATTTCAAAACCAAATATCATTATACACATTAAAAACTCATACACACGTCATAGAACTCAGTATACTCGTCATTGGGATGCTATTTCAAAACCAAATATCATTATACACATCAAAAACGTGAAAGGATGAGAATGGGCCAACACAGTCACACAATCTTGGAACAGAGATTATATCATACACACAAGTCACTGAACTTGGTACATGCACATCAGGATGGCATTTTAAAACCAAGCATACACACAGAAAAAACAAAGGCAAGAGAATGGGCTCACATCATACAGTAACATGAGCTACAAACAGGCTTCAAACAGATGACCCTAATGTGCCTAGGAGGACATTGCTTGGTGCCTTTGAATCAAGAATATAGAATGTTCGAATCAAGCAGAGAACACTTGGACAGAGAATGTTTGATCACGTGAATGAGACAAGTTTTAATGCATAAAGAGAACAAAGAATTAACTCAATTGAACAGACACAATTATGGTGCCTTTGAGCTGAGCCCTAACGTTTTCTTAATCTCTTCTCAAAACACCAAAAAAAAGCTGGTTAGTAGTTGGAATGTGAGTTTGACCATGATGATATTATGTGTTGCCTCTGATTGTTAAAAGTTGGAAGGTCTGAAAAATTCAATAAGGAACTCCAATCCTTTATTTTGAGGGCAATACTATAGAGTAGGTTGTAATTTCATTATTCATTGGAATCACAACTTCACCTCAGTTTTGTTTACTAGAAAGTAGAATTTTTATTAAATGCATGGAATTATCTTGTTAAGGGGAAATAGTGTTTTTTTTTTTTTTTGCAAGTTCCTAGGGGAGCTCTTGGGAAAAAAAAATATATATTTTCCATAACTCAAGTTTTGCCAAACATTTGTGTACATAATATTATTTATACTAAATATTCATAGATAAACAACAATAAAATGAAGTGAGAGAATAGTACTTGTAGACACAATCAACAGATTTGCGCACATCCCAGCAGAGTATATAAGGGTCCTTCAAAAATAATGAATGTCAGAAATTGAACTTCAAGTAACAAAATCAGCTGTGTAACAAGAATATGACCCATAGACCTGTCTAAACACTAGACCTAGAGAAGAAAATGTGTAAACCTTACCTTCCGACCTCCGGTATATAAATAATTTCCATCTCTGGAAAACTGGACCTGAAGGAGAGAAAAGTTTAGGCTTTCTAGTTTCTTCTTAATTTTATAATGAGAATCAGTTATTTGCAGGTAACCCTAAACTTACATGTGTAATTCCACCTTCTTGACCATGCAAAACATACAAGAGTTCCATGTTGTCCTCCCTATAAATAGCAGTAGTTTGATTGTAAGAACCCAAAGCTAGCATCCCAGAATGAAATGGAGAAAAAGCCATTGCAGATATAATACCTGCATTAATATAGACTGAAATTATATGCATCTGTTTGTGGCAGAGAATTTTCTCAGATGTGTTTTTTATAATTATTGCCACCACAGTATCTCAGATATTTTTTAAAATAAAAACTTCAGTATCCCTGATTTGAAAAATTACCCGTTAGGCCTTCTTTTTTATCTTTAACTGTTGAAAACAATTCAAAATCTCTACCAGGGCGATGTAAATCAAACATCCTAATACATTTGTTGTATCCTGCAAATATCCTACAAGGCAAATATCTTTAACTGTTGAAAACAATTCAAAATCTCTACAATTTGCAAACCATTGATCCTGGAAAAGAACCATGCAGCTTACTTATTCCCCGCAGGATTAAAAGCAATTGAAAAGGCAGCTGTAATTTCATCCATAGCATCATATGCCCGATACGTGCAACGTAACTGCAAGTTTCATTAGAAGCTATGATCAGAAGCCACAATAGCATGGCATAAACCACAACATACCTTCAAAGCTGCTAATATTTATAGTTAATAGGAGTAACATTACAAACACTTCATGAAAAGCTATATCCCCGTTCAATTGATGTTACAAATCTGTCAAATCAAGGGCTTTCAAGGGCTCTAAGCAGTCCTGATGTTGATTATTTTCAGAATTCTTAGGTGTAAAACACTTTAAGCACAAAACTGAAATGTGTAATAAAGAAAGCACCTGGCCTGAGGTAGCATCCCATAAATGAATTGGATGGTCGCGAGTAGTCGTCGCAAAAACATTGGTCACCAGATCTGAAATATCCAATAACAGAGACCAATACTCATCGTTACCAGTAATCAAAATATAAGAAGCAGAAAAAATAAAATTAAAAAATAGAAATAATTCCAATACGAAAGAAAGACCTGATGAAGACATGTAAGGATACCAACAGAAATCGTGTATGGACTCTCCTTCATGCATGACTACGTTTGCAGCAAAGGAATCTGCAGCCAACAACAGCAACAAAGGAATGAACAGTCGAACTTGGATTCGCGGTTAAACAGAAATACTGAGTGGCAGTGGCAGCACGCTAACCGTCGTCGTGGGAAGCAGAAACAGGAGCGGCGGTTTCACTGCTCGGTCTGTGAAATGCAAAACAGAGTGAATTAGTTGCAGAGAATGGTTGGGTTAGGGAGTGAGAACAGAATGGGAGGTTGTGGAGAGAAGGATTACGGCGTGAAGAGGCGGAGAGTGTTGTCGTCGGAAGAGGTGAGGAAAGAGGAACCATCGGGTGACCTAGGAGAAAAGCAGAAGTTGAATTAGGAATTGAAATGCATGAGAGTGAGGAAGGGAGTGAGGGGTGTACCATTTAACGGCCTTGAGGAAACTGTTAGGGTTGGTGGGAGAGATGAACTGGCGGTGGAAATGGTAGGTTCTGTGAGGAGGGACATCGAAGCGAAGCGCGGGGAAGGAGTACTCTTCGTTGGCGTTGGATTCGGATTGAAGCGCCTCTTCTACTTTTTCTTCTCCCATTGCTACAGCACAACTACGCTGCTCCTGCTCCTGCTGGAACCTCTTTAACTAAAACCGCCAAAACTCACTCCCTCTCAATCTCATGCTTGCAATTTTTATTTTATTTTTTACTTCTTTTTATTAATAATAATTTTTTACTCACATTTTAGATAAATCCGATATAAATTAATATTAACCAATGATTTGAGGTTTTTTTTTACAGCACAATAATTTTGGATTATGATAATAAGATTCCATTAGTTTTACCTTTTTTTTAAAATTATTTTTATTTTAAAAGTATTTAAAAAATTTATTTTAAATCAAAATAAGATTGGTTTTTTAAAATAAAAAAAAGTAAGTAATTTCTTAAAAAATTATAATTATTTATTTCTTAAAATATATAAATATTATAAATAAAAAAACATTTTTAGGAGTTGTTTTTTTAAATGTTCTTAGAGATTTTTTTAATGAAAATGTTTTTTTTAATTCTTCACATCTTGTTATTTCTTCAATACATCATTTTCATTTTTTATTTTTAAATTCTATTTTAATATTTTAAAAATATCAATAATTTTAACTTGTCTTGATATGTCATCAACTCATTTTTAAATAAGTCAAAATAAAATAATAAATGCATGCTAGCTAGCAGGTTGAAATTCCTACTTAACTCGCCTAAATTAATGGGCTAAAGGAATAGTTTCAACAAATTTATCTTTGATATCTCTAAATACAACAACTTTTTTTTTAATAAAATGATAATAAGAAGATTTGAATCTAAGAAATGCAAGAGTTATCCAAACTCCAATCACAAAGTCAATTATAATAGTTTTTAATACGGTATGCTTTAAATAAATAGATTGAATGATGATCCATAAAAATTATTAATAAATAGAGTGGATGGTTTTTTTAATAAAATGAACTATAAATACATTGATTTTTATAGTACATTTTGTTGAGAAATTATTTTATAATTTAAAATTTAAGTTAAATATTTAATTTAATTAATCTTTGTTTTATTTAATATTTGTAAGTTTCAAAAACAAAAACAAAAACCGTTTGAATTGCAGTATGCACGTAACCAATAGTCTTTTTCTTTTTCAAATTGGTTATTAACCACGATGTCTTTTGTTTTTAACCGTTGGGTCTCGTAGTTACAGAAAATTGAGGTATCATGTTGCACTCCTTATTATGCATACAACACACTAATACTGCATATATATATGACTTACGTACGTCAGGAAAATAGGCTCTCTACGCACACTGAAAACTCACATATCTTTCTTTATAAATTATTTTCTACTATTAATTTTGGAGCGGTGTTCTTTAGTTCGGGGATCTTTCACTGCATTCGAATGATCTAAGGATAAGAGCGCATTAAAAGACTTAAAATTACCAGTGCAGTGGGGGCGTTTTCTCTCTAAGAATAGTGTTCTGCGTGCTTCAACCCAGGCTACTCTAAACCTATTATTCAATATTTTAATTTGTTCTTTGTGTTTAATTAGTTGTTACTAATTGCTCTATTTTAATTTACAATATTCATTGTGTTGTTGATATATTGGTTTTATTGATAAATCTAAATATTTTATTTTTTCTTGTGCTCTATTAAATTTATTTTATAACAATCTTAGAGAGAAAAATTTTCTTTTCTTATTCAATATCAACATGTCTACAATGGATATTTTAAAGTCTTTGAGTAGTAAGCCAAAAAACTTTACGGGTGAAAATTTTTTTATGTTGGCAACAACAGATGAAATTTTGGCTTACAGTGGAATTTATTTTCTGTTATTTTAAATGGAAAATCTGAAAATTGTCCTGATTGTACCTTGGTTGAAGCTAGTTCTTCTAGTGATAAAGATATTTTGTGTCATGGTCATATTTTGAGTGCTCTATCTGATAATATTTATAAAATATTTTGTCATATAAAAACTGTTTTGGAGTTATGGGACGCTCTTGAACTAAAGTATGATTTTGCTGAAAAGGGTTTAAGAAAATACTCTTGTGAAAGAATGATTTATTTTCAAATGGAAGATGGAAAACCTTTCTTTGACCAAGTTCATAAGTTTGAAAATATTATTTATGATATGAAAATGAAAAAAATTACTTTGCCTGACATAATGCTTGTTAGTTTGTTAATTTCTAAATTGCCTCCTTCTTGGTCTGAATTTGCAAGAAGCCTTAAGCATAAACCCGATCATTTCACTTTATCTGATTTATTGGTTACATTGCGAATTGAAGATAAACATCGTATTTCACAAAAGGATTCTAATAAATCCCTTTTTTCAGGCTAAGGCTCATTTAGTGGAAAACGCTAATAAGCCTAAACAAAAAATTTTTAAAAAATCTGGTTTTTCCAATAATAATAAGTTTGGTCAAAGCTCTCATTTCTCCAGAAATAAAAACAAAGCTTTTAATAACAACTACAAACCAAAGAGTAAAATTCAAGAAAATGAGTCTTTCTGCCTTGTTTGTGGAAGAAACAATCATTTTGCTAAAGATTATTTTCATCGTCGTCGTCAACCAAAAGACATTACATCTAATCCCAAATCTTCATCTCAGCCTCAAGCTGATGTTATTACCACTAATGCTAGCTCGGATTTCCCATCTAACAGGTATCATGTCACTAACCCAGAGTTAAATTTTATTTATAACTCAAATGATTGGTGGCTTGACTCTGGAGCTAATGTTCATGTGTGTGCTGATAAAAAATTATTTTCTTCATATCAGGAATGTGGTACACGTAGCATGGGGAATGGGAGCCTAGCACGCGTCATTGGTCTAGGCCGAGTAGAATTAGAATTATCTTCTGGAAATTATCTTGTTTTAGATGAAGTTTTTCATGTTTCTAAAATTAGAAAAAATTTGATTAGTGCTGCTTTGTTAGTTCAACAAGGTTTTAAAGTTGTTTTTGAATCCAATAGAGTTGTAATTTCTCGACATTGTTCTTTTGTTGGGAAAGGATATATTTGTGATGGTTTATTTAAACTTAGTATCATGCCTTCCTTTATTAATAAAAATTCTAGCATTTCTTCATCTTCTATTTCAAATGTTGAATGTTGTGACATTTGGCATGGTAGACTTGGACATGTTAACTTGATATCTATTAAAAGAATGATGACACTTGATCTTATTCCTAAATCTTTTAATGAATTGAAACAAAAATGTGAAGTTTGTGTTCAAGCCAAACAACCTAAAAAATCTTTTCAAAATTCTGTCCAAAAGGAAACTTGTGTGTTTAAACTCATTCATAGTGATATATGTGATAGTAATGGTGTTATTACTCGTGGTGGAAAGAAATAATTTATTACCTTTATTGATGATTTCTCAAAATATTGCTATGTATACTTGATTATTCATAAAAGTGAGTTATTTGAAAAATTCAAGGTGTATAAAGCAGAAGTTGAAAATCAATTAGAAAGGAGTATTAAAATTCTTCGTTCTGATAGAGGAGGGGAATATTCTTCTAATGAAATGGGTGAATTTTTTGAAACACATGGCATAATTCATGAATTCACTCCTCCATATGCTCCCCAATCTAATGGAATTGCTGAAAGAAAAAAATCATACTTTATTAGACATGATAAACACTATGCTTATAAGTTATGGTTTGCCTGATAATTTGTGGGGGGGAGCTTTGTTTACTGCATGTCACATTTTGAATAGAATTCCTTATAAAAATTCCGATAAAACTCCTTATGAACTTTAGAAAAATAGAAAACCAAATTTGAAGTGAGCAAATCATGATCAACAAGATGGATACAATGATAGAAATGTCAAGGAGACGTGAATCTTTGTTTTCTGGTATTCTTGACAGATTTGATGATTTGGATCGTGAAGTGAGGTTGATCAAGACCCAACTTGGGATACCGGAGGATGAGGATTGATCCGTGTTCTATTTTTTTGATTAGTTTTAATTAGGACTTTTAATTCTGTTTTGGAACAATTAATTTCAATTTGGTTGTAAGTTTTTTTTGGTTCTGAACAATTTACATTCTGATGAAATTTGGACTTTATTTTGTTGATTTGTTGGTCTGAATGTGGTATCATGTTATGGTGTGCTTGACTGATGCAAAAATGCTATGTTTTGTGAGCATATGAGTTGCTATTTTGGTTTTGATTGGAATACTCTATTTTTAATATTGTGGTAATGTTTTGGCTTGACTTTGTCTGATTTGTGATTCAATGGTGCACAAAAGACTTGAATTTGGATGGTTGTGAATGATTGTATATGGAAAGCAAGGAGAAAGGAAGATGGTCCGATTCCATATGCTCTTTTGCTATCTAAAATTTTTGAGAATGCTGGAGTAGATTTGACAGGTGAAAGAAAAATTGTGTTGCATGCTTAGAACAAGATAGAAAAGTCTTCATTGCATCACATGGGGATGCTTAAGCAAGAAGACAAGTGGGTGTTTAAAGGCGATGTACCCCCTACACCGGAGCCGGCAATAGATGAAGACGGTGTTCCGTCTCAAGATGAGGATCAGCCACCACAGGTGGAAGCTAAGCCTGGAAGGGAATCTGAACCGGAACTGAAGTCGTTCTCACCGTTTGAGCAAATCATGATCAACAAGATGGATACAATGATAGAAATGTCAAGGAGACGTGAATCTTTGTTTTCTGGTATTCTTGACAGATTTGATGATTTGGATCGTGAAGTGAGGTTGATCAAGACCCAACTTGGGATACCGGAGGATGAGGATTGATCCGTGTTCTATTTTTTTGATTAGTTTTAATTAGGACTTTTAATTCTGTTTTGGAACAATTAATTTCAATTTGGTTGTAAGTTTTTTTTGGTTCTGAACAATTTACATTCTGATGAAATTTGGACTTTATTTTGTTGATTTGTTGGTCTGAATGTGGTATCATGTTATGGTGTGCTTGACTGATGCAAAAATGCTATGTTTTGTGAGCATATGAGTTGCTATTTTGGTTTTGATTGGAATACTCTATTTTTAATATTGTGGTAATGTTTTGGCTTGACTTTGTCTGATTTGTGATTCAATGGTGCACAAAAGACTTGAATTTGGATGGTGCACAAATGACTTGTATTTGATGAGTTTGGTTTGCTGAATCAAAGTTTTATTTTGGTTATTATTGGACATACTCTATACATGGCTTATATTTGAAAAACTTGACTTACTTTGTTTTTGATAATGCCAAAGGGGGAGAAATGGTATGGTGTGTGTATAGTTGTTTTTGCAGGTAATGTGCTTGTGTGTGTGTATTGTGCAGGTTGGAATGAATTGAAGGCACAATGGATGAAAATGTTTGAAGCACAATGGATGAAAATGTTTGAAGCACAATAGCATTAGGTTGATACAATATGAATCATGGGTTGTCATCATCAAAAAGGGGGAGATTGTTGAGCTTAGGAGAGCTTGAATCTTCAAGGAGTTTTGATGATATGCATTGTGATAGTCAAGTTGCCATTGCTAAAGTTACTAGCAAAAACTTTAATGAAAAAAGAAGGCACTTGAGAATAAGACACAAATCTGTTAGAAATTTGATAACTCATGTGTTATTTCTATTGATTTTATCAAGTCTGAAAATAATCTTGCGGATCCACTCACAAAAGGGTTGACGCGTCAACAAGTACTTGAATCGTCGAGGGGAATGGGACTAAAGTCTATCAACTAGTTGCAACAATGGACACCCGTCTCCACATAAATGGCGATCCCATAAATGGAGTTCAATAGGTAATAACGAAATTATTTGTTAACTAAGTACACCATTGTAAATTTCAAAATTATTGCATGTTCCATTCCTATGGCGAGGTGTACTCTAAAGTAAACTGTGATAGTAATAAGGTTGAGGTATTCAAATATTTATATTTATTGTGTTAAAATTAAAAATACCTCTTAATGGACCCAATGACAATTGTTGTAGGGGTGGGTGTCACAGACCACCCTTGGAAGGGTTCACCTAGTGAGTGTGGTGGTGGGGCCGCTACTGTGAGATATGAGCAATCTCTACATGACACTCACGAAACAAGATACATGCGCAAGGCCGTAATGCGCTCCACTGATTAGAACTTGAATGAACACCTTTATTATACGTGTTATGTTCTAAAATTTGGTTAAAGGGATATGGCTCAAGACAATTATGTCTCCATATTCTCTCAAATGAAAGTTCATATGCACTAGGTATAAGGCTCAAACCCAGAAGGTTCCCTGTACTAAAAATATAATATATCATGCTCCATTAAAATATTTAAGTTTATATATATATATATATATATAATTACATACCATTTTTTTCATATTTAAAATATATATATATATATCTTTTTTTCTATATTTAAATTTTAAATTAGTGGGAGATTGTTGAGAAATTATTTTATAATTTAAAATTTAAGTTAAATATTTAATTTAATTAATCTTTGTTTTATTTAATATTTGTAAGTTTCAAAAACAAAAACAAAAATCATTTGAATTGCAGCATGCACGTAACCAATAGTCTCTTCCTTTTTCAAATTGGTTATTAACCACGATGCCTTTTGTTTTTAACCGTTGAGTCTTGTAGTTACCGAAAATTGAGGTATCATGGTGCACTCCTTATTATGCATACAACACACTAATACTGCATATATATATGACTTACGTACGTCAGGAAAATAGGCTCTCTACGCACACAGAAAACTCACATATCCTTCTTTATAAATTATTTTCTACCATTAATTTTGGAGCGGTCTGCATTCGAACGATCTAACGGATTGACGTATCTTGGGAGAGGAGCGCATTAAAAGACTCAAAATTACCAGTACAGTGGGACGTTTTCTTTTTAAGGATAGTGCTCTGCGTGCTTCAACCCAAGCTACTCTATACCTATTATTTAATATTTTAATTTGCTCTGTGTTTAATTAATTATTACTAATTGCTCTGTTTTAATTTACAATATTCATTGTGTTGTTGATATATTGGTTTTATTGATAAATCTAAATATTTTATTTTTTCTTGTGCTCTATTAAATTTATTTTCTAACAATTTTTATCATATCATAAATGATTTACTTGTTTAATTTTATCCATCCATTATAATTTATTTAAAATTTATCCATTTGACACTGTATCTTAGATTCATGACCTTACCTTTTATTAGAGAGAAAAAAACATAATAGTTTTTGGCTCTGGAACTCAATTAAAGATCTAAAGAGAAATATTGTCAATATTCAATCTAACTCTCTTGCTAATACTTTTTTTATTATTGACAAAAAAATGATGAATCATATTACTAAACTATGAGAGAGTCCTGTTAAATAAAATATAATGTCCACAAAATATAATGTTAAAATGAATATTACGCATTCTTGAAGAGCTAAATCAGGAATAGGCACGCTAGATAGTAACGGGCAAACAATGGCTATTTAATTTTTAAGTATTCCTTATGGATGTTCCAAATCGCATTGCATTGTGATGATTATGAATCATTGGATATAATATGCAAACTGCTTTTGAGTTGAATATCTGGATTATGTGTTTAACAACAATTAACAACAGGGGTTTCTTCGACAAGAAACATTGGGATCAAAATAATTGTACAAGAGCTGCTTCTCAAATAGACAAATACGAATCATTCTTAAAACTTGAATACAAGGGAAGATCAAGAGCCCTCTCAGCAACTCTGCGATCTTCATGAATTTTAGCTATCAAGCTTTCAAGGGAAGGAAAATTGACCTGGAATGCCCAATACCCAATTTTAGTGAAACTTGAAAAGTATCTGGGGGACAGTACACGGATGACGGAGAAAAATTGTAGGAGAAATATTAATTCAGCTATACCTCAGGACGTATGTAACCAACTATAACTAGTCGCAGTTCTTCCCCGTAGAAATCCTCTTTAAAGTCATGAAGTAGCCAGGGTTCCTACAATAAAAAAGGCATAAATAATACGAAAATTCAAACGCAAAGAGCTATAGCTGGAGGTGTATGATAAACCACTTACTATAGTCTTTTCTTTGTTGTTGAAATATGGATTCCAACCAATGCTCATCACCATTTTAAAAACACCTCTTCCTGATAATCCAGCCCAACCAAAATAAACTCCTGAAGGATGCTCTGAAAGGAGATCTGAATAGCCCTTTGTTGATAAATTGGCTGGAAGAAAATAGTGTACAAATTACTATTAGTACAATAATAAACCACAGATTGTTTAAGACAGTGTAATAGGCCAAAATTTGTTCAAGAAATAAGTTGAAACAAACCTGTAGGGATCCCAAGTACCTTCGAGCCACGACCAAATCCCTTGACAACAGGACCACCAATATACCAAGGATCTAAGGGCAAAGTTCCCTCCACCCCTGCAATAATTTAAAATACTAGTTCAAATATAAATGACATACTAATAAAAGAAACAAAACACGTACAAAAGGACCATCTTAAAGTATTTGGGGCTTACAATCTTCAAATGGAGGCAGACCCCACTTTTCGAGTTGCAAATCAAGTAGGGAATTGATAACCTCATCTGCTGCAGTATAGAGATGTGACTGTTTTGGAACTGATGGTACAGCAACTACTTCCATTTCAGCAGTCTTACCTGCAGTAACCCCAGGTCTGAAGTAGCCAAGTATACGTTTTTAGAAAGAAGATATGGAGGAAAATAAGTATCCGTAACTGTAAGGCATAGAGAAAAAAGTCTTGGATAAAAATCACCATTCATTTATGGAAACCTTGTAGGAAATAAGCCAGCAGTCTTCAGCTATTGTAAATTAAGCAAAAGACATTTACAACATAGCAATAACTATGGACCTAATGGAAGGGGAGGGTTTAACCAAAATGTAGTAAGAGTTAAACAGTGATTATTTTGTCTACGATGTAAAAAATACACATAATTTGAGAATGCTAGAAAAACCCTTTAAAATTAAGTAGGATTTTAAACTAAATTCCAAAAGCCCAGTTCAAAGTATCAAAGGCTAGATTCATGGGATACGGACAGTTTGAGAAAGTTGTAACAAGGCAAGACCTAAATCAATTGACAAGCAAGGAGATGTGATAAAAATAGGTTTAAATCATAATAACAGAGAAATTGGTAATTCAACCAGAACAAACATGCACAAAGTAATATTATGAAGGAATTTTGTTGAGAGAAAAAAAGTATATGGATTTTCTCAAATTTCTATCACAAGACCTGAGTCTCATTGCATCCAAAACACCCATTCTCTCTTAAGGTGAGTTTTTGATATACATTGAGGGGCAAAACAAGCAAAGCAACACAATACAAGAAGTGGAGTTTCAATACAACTTTTTGTTCTGTCCATGTTTGCAGTTGAAGCAGGAGATTGCATTGGTTATGACTTATGAGTCCAATTGGGCTTGCTAAATGTTCTCTATTGTCATTAATGGAATTTAGCCAAACTGATGGGTATTTTTTACTTTTGAGTACTGTTGTGCTGCGACAAAAAGTTTTCAAATATTCCCATGGTTTATTGATTATTGATAATTAAGATTTAGAATGTTGTCCTAAACTTAATCCTTTGTTTTCATGTTTTGTTCTTTTCCATGAAAATTTTAAAATAGAACATGGAACAAGCATTTTTTAGTTATCCTTCCTTTTTTAGCAAATCAAATACTTTCTCATATAACCTGACTAGTTACTCGGCAATTACATCAAATACAAAATATGTGTTTCAATTCCTCAAAAACTAGCCACTATAAAGGCATGTAATTTTGGTTGCGCAATCTATCTACATAACAGTGGTCCTCAGCTAATAGGTGATTTAATCCAAAACCAAACATCTAATTACAAGATCAAAATTGCTAGCCTTCAGCTAGAAATTCATAAACAGAATCTCCAGGGAGGAAGAGATATTTAGAAATTCTCCTAAAATATTTAGATTCTTTTTTTTCCCATAAAGAGAGTAGAGACCGAAAGGAAAAGAGGTTATCTTTATATTTTACAAATATAATTAATAGAATAATAGGGTATCCAATAATTCTAAAAAGTTTCTCATATGGATACTAGTGGAGATAAAAGCAAATAGTAATCCATCAGAAATTGTAATCATCAAAGAAGATTTAGAGCTGACACAGGAAATCATATGAAATGAAAATCAATACCAGGACTCCAGGAGAAAGACAGAAATCAAGAAACTCACAAAGAGTCTTCAATGACAAGACAACTGGAAGGCTCCACGCTTAACCTCCTAGCAGCTTCAAGGAATCTAACATCATAAAACACAATATAAGAATTTTAGAAGACAAAGATCTTTCTAATATAGAAATCAACTGACCCTCAATAATCAAGGCTAGACAATATATCATAGCATCTCACATTTCAGGGGACGGTTTTGCTGTTCTTACTTCATCTCCACCAATTATAACAGAGAAAGAATTCTTCCATCCTGCATCCAAAGAAAATAAATGAACAAAAAAGCCCATACTTACATTAACACACAAAAACAAAGACAAAAGCAGCACAAGAAGCTTAAGCCCATGAAATAAGCCAACCATCATGATAGGAAATTTTGGCTTCAATGCTTTCCCTTGGAGAGTTTGATGCCAAGGCCATTGGAACTCCATGACACTTCAAATGTTTAATCAACCGATTAGCACCAGGAAGTTCTTTAATGTTGCACCACCTAAAACACCAATAGAGCAAAAACTAAGAGAAAAATTCCCTCAGAAATTGGAAGCACAAGTTCAATATCTCCAAATCAAACAAAGGTTTCGTGACAATAAATTGTTTCAGGAAAAATTTCCTAAAATATTGACTTCATTTTGTGTTAATAAATATCCACAGGTGAATCTCGTCAGAACCTCTGCCCGACTAATGTTCACAGAATAAAAACCTATTTGGATAATCTTTTCTTGAAATACTTATCGAAGGAAAAACAATAAGAAAAAATGAATTTGATTTTTTCATAAATTAAAATTAACTTGTGCATGAGCTAATTTGTAGAAGTTTTTTTCCTATTAATTTTTTCAAAATTTTATTTTTGTTTATGCATAAGCTAGTTTAAACTTTTTTTTTTCTTTTAAAGTGATTCTGAAAAAGTTTATCTGAAGAGTATACTTTCATCCAATGATTAAACAAATAACTTTCAGGAACAAAATAATCCTTTAACTTTTTTATGTCCCTTTTTTTACTTGCACAAAAAAGAATAGGATAAGAACAAAAACAAAGTGATCCCCCCTTTTTTTGTCTTATGAGCAATAGGTCTTACATATAAAGGAACCTGTACCCATGTCTCAAAATTCCCTTACCAAGCTACATGAAACAGATTCCCAAAAGACCACAGAAAAATTATTGCTAATTGTCCAAAATAAGAAGCAAAAATATTCTGATAAGACGTTCCTCAGTAATATCATGACTTTTAAAGTCATGTGCAGTAGCAATGTCAAACCAAATACGACGAGTACTGGGATCTAGAGCTAAGCCTTGACTAAACCTTAGAAATCTTAATGCTATAATGATTTTCAAATCCTCCTAGCTATTATCCTACTGCAATAATTCTTGCTAAGAAGAATCTTCGTAAGTTAAGACAGTGTACTCTTTAACTTAGAAGTTCAGCAATCAAGTAATATTAACTCGTTTATAATTGGTACTAATCATAGAATATTCCGCATTGAAAATTCAATTGACAAGATAAAAAGCTTAGAATAATGACGTAAGATATGATTACTGGTCAGAGAAAAGTGGCGAAATTTGAGAGAGAAATTCTAGCGTGGAGCAGGGAAGTCCATAATCTTGCACAATCGCAGCAGCAGCTTCAAACGGCGTCGTCCCTATGATTTTCTGAGCTTCTCTTCCGTCCCATTCCTTTTCGTACTTACCTAACAAAAGCTTCAAAACGTTGCCTACGATGCCATCTGCCACCAAATCACAATCGCCAACGTTATAGAAGAAAGCCCCAATTGCAAAGAAGAAAAAAATATGCAAGTACTTGATTCTATGCTTCAATTAAAAAACCTGTGTTGACCAACGTGCCGTCCAAGTCAAGGATAACGCCTCTAATCAACTTGTTTGAGACCGACATTTTGTGAATGAAATTAAGTTGAGACAATCGAACAAGGTCGCAGGAAGTGCAGTTTGCGGTTTAGAGCGAGAGGAGCTTTGGAGTTCTCCAGAGAGCAGTGAAGAGCATGGTGGAAGTTGTATCGATAATAATGACAAGACCGGGTTCCTTTTTGCTTTTATTTTTTATTTTTGACGTGAACCATGTTGGACAATGATGTAACCAAACACTAGCACAATAGGTTGGGTCGTCGGCTTGCAACTAATAAAATTTGGTAGAGGAGGAATGCTGCAAACTCTTTTCTAATTTCTAATCTGAAAGCATGAAAAATATAATTTTAATATTAAAATATTCTATAAAATCAATCTTTTAACTTTATAATAAAATATATAATTAATTTAATTACTTCATTTTGAAGAAACAATCGTCGTTTCCTTTTACAACTTCCTAAAGGAGCTTTTGAAAGGAAAAGAAAAGGCAAACCTTTTACCATTGATAGCTATAAGGTAAATCCAAAAAGATTTAACCCTATCTTTCCATTTTATGATTCAGATATAAATGCAGCATGGTTTGGGAGATAGTGTGTATTCACAAACTCATCGACATCAACTAATTGTTCATTCATTTTGCACTACTTATCAAACATGAACATATAAAAAAGATGCACACTTCCCCCTTCCCACCACCCTTTTCATTTTTCAATCAATGAAAACATCAACCAAGCATTAGCAACAAAAACGCTCCTCAAAACAAACCCAAATAGATTAAAACTTGATCAAAACCCATCACCAATCTTCCAAGAAAAAACCCACATACCTAATCAGAAAAGAACGCCTCCATGATGGAAAAATCAGATTTTTTTTCTTGGGGTGTGTGAGGTACGAACCATGATTCTAAAATTGACCCTCCTTTGGTTACTGGGGTTTGTGGCTGACTTTGGGATCCAAAGTCAATGACATGAGTGGAAGAAACAGCGGCCCAGTTGAGGAAAGTAACTGTTTGTGAAGAAAAAGGCCTCTGTTTTGGTTGGAACAGAGTGGAATCGAAATAAAAAGAGGTGTGTGGAGTGGGTGGGGCGTTAAAGTGTGATTGAATTGAAGTGAGAGTGGGTTTAAGGTTTTAAAATCTTGGGGAAATGGGTACAGGGTTGAGAATAATTGGTCAATTCAATTGGGTATGTTTGTTTTTTTTCTTTTTTACATGGTGCTTTTTTCTTGAAGGGAGTAATGTAGTAGTAAATCTCTTCAAATTTCTAAATGCCTTTTATTCATACTAGTATAAAAAGAGGCACTTCTATATATTTATTTTTTTACAGTGCCTCTATAAATAAATTTTATTAAATTTAAAGATAATAGTGTCGAATACAAAAATAAAAACTAAAATGATAGTTATCAAAAGACTTTGGTCTCTATTCCCGAACCTGAGTTGCAAAATCTAGAAAAAAAGAATGCAAAGGTTCAAATCGTTTGGAATGATAGGCCTATATATTGGGTGCAGATGGGGGTGTTGGAGATTGATCGGACTGATATAAAACGCCATCCGTGTGTTTTTGGCCATTACAAATCCTACGGCTCCTGGTGTTAGGAACTGTGTTTTCTATTGGTTGCTTTCATTGACAATTGAAGCCATGTTGGATTATGTATTAGAGTAACTCCAATGGGAGTTGCTTAAGGTGTATCTTAAAAATAAGGGACATACCTAATAAGAAATTGCCATTGGAGTGTTCTTACGTGGCAAAAAAAAGTTGAAATTTTTTAGAATCGTTCCTTCCTGAAGCTCCGGTGCTTAGGATTGTGAAATGCCAAATGGAGGGTTCTCAATGGTTCATCTGTCCAAGCTGGCCGCTTCAACATCTCCATGCCCAAAGCCACGAACCGTCGCATAGAAGAGCTCCCCGTGAGCTAGCAACACCGCGGAGATCCACTCACACCAGCACCAACCACTGCGGAGCTCCTCTCGTCGTTGTCCCCGTGGCCACCGTCGTCGAACCAGCACCATCACACTAGCACCGTCGTCCCTGTGGCCACCGTCGTCGCACCAACATTGTCGTCCCCACACCAGTTCCGTCGCAGCAGGACCATCCCTCCTCTCGCCGTTGTCCCCGCACCAGCGTCATCGTCCCTGTGGCCACCGTCGCCGCACCAGCGTCATCGCCCACCAGCCACGAGAGAGAATCACAAAAAGAAGAGAGAGACCTTGAAAGAGAAAGAAGAACGAGAGAGAATGAGAAAAAAGACCATTTTTACATTTATTTTTTTACATTTTATTAAAAAAAATACATTTTGTAAAATTTTATTAAAAAATAATTAAATCAAACACATTTTCAGTATTTCTATTTTCTAAAAATAGAAAACAAGAACTCAAACTAAACAAGTTTTCTAAATCTAAAAATTTAAAAATAAAAATTATTTTTAAAGATAAAAATAAAAAATATTTTCTCAAATGAAAGTCTTTTTAATTTTTCATTGTAGGATTTATTAAGATACTTCTTTTTATTATTGTAATTTTTTTATTATATAATTGTTTTTGTTTGTTATTCATATTTATATATTATCCATAATAATTAATTTTTTAAAAATTTATCATAAAGTATAGTGTGAGGTGTCAAAAAGTGTAGTATGAGTTGTAAAAAAAATAGGAGTGCTTATAAACAGTTTCTATTGGAGTAAAAATTGTAAAAATATAGTATGAGTTGCTTATGAATGACGTGGCACAGTAGGACCCATTTAAAGTAGTTGGAAGTTGCTTATAAGCAACTCCCATTGTAGATGCTCTTACGAAGTAGTCTTTTTTTCTTGCCCTTTCTTTTTGGGCCTTAGCCCGTAAAGCTTCCGGAGGTCCTCTTTTAGGTGGACTTGAAAATCTATAACGGGTATTTTCTTTCTTAATGCATTGAAAATCTTATCTTAAAAATAGAATATATAGAGAGAGAGAGAGCGACCGAGACATTTTATATCTCTAATAGTTAAATATAGATAAAATATTATAAGGTTGCATATAGTTATTATTCATAAAAGATATAATGGTCAACTTAAAAATAGAGAAATATCCCTTTTATAATAGGAATATATATATATATATATATATA